GCATTATATTGATCTTGTGCATTGTGCTCTTGTCCACTGTTAACTTGTCAGTTGAAAGCTGTGAAGTGTGTTGAAGCTGTGCACATGTAGATTCTATCTGCATGACTGGCGATTCTCTTCCCCTCCTGCTCCATTGATTTGCTTATTTTTATATTTTAAAAAAATGTGCCCCTTTTTTCATACGGATTTCTAAAAGCAGTTCAACAACTAATAAAACATATTGTATGTAAACTGATGCTACTTAAAGAAACCGAACAATAAAAACAAAAAGAACAGCAAGAAGCAACAAAAGCCATACAAAAGCCAGGGGATAAAAAACAAACCAGTTTATTTTCAAATAAACTGAATCATCACAATCATTTGCAGGTGCAGGGGGCTATTTTCAGGACGTTTGCAAGGAGGAAGCAGTATGGTTCCCTCTTGCTAGGGCGTTTCACAATGTTACTGCTGCTTCTGCAAGGTCCCTGCTATAAGTGGAGACCACCCTGGCCTCAGTGTAGGATGCAAATCTTAGCAGAAGATCTCAAGTGCTGAGATGAGGGAACATAGGAAGCTGCCTTCTTAGTAGTTCATTAGACCAAACAGACTAGACATTATGTTTTTGTCATATATTGGGTTTAACACATTTTATGTTACAAGGCGCGTCTTAACCAATCATAGACGAATGTTCTAATGGCAAGTAAGCGCATGTACTTCCAATTGTCAATGGTCAGTTCATTGCTCAGGTTTATTATTGTGTTGTCCAGTCAGTTTGGTTCTTGTGTTCCTATGAGTGAGCTGTTGTCACTGTCAAATGTTGAATAAACTTAGTTGAGGAACTTATACTACCTTGGGCTTCTGACTTTTTCCGAATATTTAACAGTTTTGCATAGGGGAGATTGTCAGAGCTGAGCTATAGGGAGTCATCAAGAAAACGCCAAGAGCATAGGAGCCAACTCCTGGGGCTGAGGTTCTTGCACCCCCACTATAAAATAACTGCAAAATTGATGGGCGCTGCCATTCAAATTGTGTGCTTGCACCGTGTCTTGTAATCGATTATGTGGGGGAGGGCTTACCTGTGCTCCCCCATATTTTATTCAAGTTGGAACCCCTGGACAGAAGTAAGAGGTCTGGTGTGTGGGTGTGGGTGTGAAGCCAGGGAATATGGAGATAGTCATGGCTATGGAACAAGCAAGGAGAGTCATAAGGTGCAAGATTATTCACCAGTTTGGTCTTGGTATTTGCACTTAAATAATTTATTTTTATGTCACAACGAGACCGTAGAGTGGCTAGGATTTTAACTCTTTTGAACAATATAAATGCAAACACATACATATAAATTTGGATAAATGACTTTTGTAGTATATTGGTGGCTGTGCAGCCCTTGTATAGTGTGGCTGTATGAAACAATGGGAAGGAGAATTACAGAGAGCAGTTCTGATGCCGGTGTTCAGAAGTGAGATGGTTTTATGATCTCATGAAAAACAGTGGGATAACATAACTCTTCAGGCACTGCCTATCGTGCAGGGAAAATATGTTTGTGTCGCAGGGGCTGCCATTTGAAGAGAAATGGTTGTTAAAGAAAATTCCTCTAGAGTCTTCTGGCAGGCATGTAACAGAAATAAAGAAAATGTATGCTGCTTCCTCCTGTAAATGTTGGAGATGTAACTGTAAAGATTATGATTTTCTTCATACTTACAAAAGGTTTATGGAAAGGCATTTTAAAAGTCATATTATAGATAATTGGAGATATGCTAATTCCACAGGTAGAACTGCTAAACAATTTGTGAAGTGGTATAAAAGAAGAAACACAGGATATCGGTTAGCAATCTTATAGCAGTTGCTAGAATGCTGACTGAAAGAAAGAAAGAAACAAAGAAATAAAGAACACGGAAGCATGGCAATCTGTAGAAAAATGGAATAGAGATATATGGAAATTATTAACAGCTTTTATTACTAATATAAGGCTGGGCAATGACAGAGCTATGATTAATTTCGTGAATAACTAGGAAAGTGTATGCTGTTCTGGAAGAGAAATAAATAAATATTGAGAAAACAATTCCCCAATGGATGTTAACAATGCTGTGAAGATGCATTATTATTTTTATGTTGGTTAGTTGCTTTATACAAAAAGTCTCGAAGTGACAACAACATAAAAAAATACAAACAGTTAAAATAATTAAAAACCGGAAAATTTAAAAACAATGTAGAAAGCAGAATTCCCAAAATGCTCATCTAACAATGCAACAAAGAAAGTCAAGCTTTGGACTACAAGAACCCAAAGCTCAATAGGTGTTTTTATGTGTTTATGGGATTATAATGTTGTAACATTTTTCCTGCTCCATTTCCTGCTCCATAATAAATCCCTCTTCTCAGGTAACTCTGGGAATTGTTGATCTGTGTAGGTGAACAGGGATCTCCTAACAACTCTCAGGCCTCTTAACAAACATGGGGAAATGGATCAAATTTGTTTTTATTAGCCAATATATTCCATATTCTTAAAAGTGATTTAATCGTTTCCAGAGTCACCTGAGATTCAAATATTTCCATCCTAGTACAGTCATACCTTGGATCCTGAACGCCTTGCAAGTAGAACGTTTTTGCTCCTGAACACAGCAAACCTGGAAGTGAGTGTTCCAGTTTGTGAATGTTCTTTGGAACCTGAATGTCTGCTGTGGGTTCCGCAGCTTCTGATTGGCTGCAGGAGCTTCCTGCAGCCAATCGGAAGCTGCACCTTGGTTTCTGAACATTTTAGAAGTCAAATGGACTTCTGGAACGGATTCCGTTCAACTTCCGAGGTACCACTGTATTATCTAACCAACCAAAACAGTGGCGTAGCGTGGGTTGTCAGCACCCGGGGCAAGGCAAGTAATTTGCGCCCCCTAACCCGTGGATTTGCGCCCCCTAACCTGTGGATTTGCCCTAACCCCAGATGTTGCGCCTGGTGCGGCCGGCCCCCCCTGCACCCCCCACGCTACGCCACTGAACCAAAAGTGCTATGTACATATATTCTAGGGTTGCCCACATCGGAAAATTAAGGCCACAGTGAGATTCCAATGTTTAGTACTTGCCAGTAGGCAAGCATAGTGATATAATGCCAAATTTGGGATCCTGAAACCACCGTCTTTAATTTGTAGCTGCATTCTCTGCAAAGATATTCTTGGTGTTGCTGAGCCCCAAAGGCATTTCCTAAATAATGAATTTACCTTTGATCCTGATGTAGAAACTGGGAGTCCTCTCAGGATATAAATGAATCTGGGAATAATATTAATTTTGAGAGCATTCACCCTTTCCCTAATGTTCAATGACTTCCACCTATTGATATCTGAAGAAACCTCTTTTATTAATTTATTCATATTAACTGTAACTAACTGTGTTATATCTCTTGGTATTAACATACCTAGATATTAAATAGATTCGGGGGGGGGGATTGATATTTCTTGAATGATTGTATAAATAAATTTTGACCTATTGGCATCAATTCTTATTTGGACCCATTAACAGAATAACCTGATATTTTACCAAAAGCGTCTGTCATTTGGATCAAGATGGGTATGCTAGTCTGAGGTTCCAAAATAAACAAAAGTATATCGTCTGCAAATAAAACTAACTTATGTTCGACTGAATTATGAACTGCTCTGTGAATTTCACGATGTTGTCTAATAGTGCTAGCCAAAAGGAGAGTACACAACCTCCCAAGGCAGTTCATTCCACTGCTGAACAGCTCTTTCCATCAGAAAGTTATTCCTGATGTTTAGTCGGAATCTCCTTTCTTGTAACTTGAAGCCACTGGATTGAGTCCTACCTTTTGGAGCAAGAGAAAACAAGCTTGTTTCATCTTCCATGTGACAACCCTTTAAATATTTGAAGATGGCTTTCATATCTCCTCTCAGTCTTCTCTTCTCCAGGCTAAACATACTCAACTCCCTCAACCGTTCCTCATAAGGCTTGGTTTCCAGCCCTGAGTTTTGCACCAAACAGATGTTTTGTGTCATGATTTGTTATGAAATGTTGACTTTTTTGGATTGGTTGTTGTGCTGGGCAATATTATGGAAAGTGGTAGAGAGCAGGACAAGGTATAGCAGCTGAAAACCATAAATAAAATGTATGTAAATAGACACTATGCCAGTTACTATCACACACTGTAGTTCCTCACTCTCTGTAACAGTGGTCAGGATGAGATGGGAAACCAGTGGCAATTATAAAACGCTTTGAGGATTGCCAAATTGTGCCAAAATTGGCTAAATTTAGCTCAGTGGTAGAGCATCTGATTTGGATGCTGAAGGTCTCAGATTCAATCCTTGGCCTCTCCAGGTATGGCTGGAAGAGAAGCTAGTCTAAAATCCGGAGAGCCATTGCATGTCAGCCTAGACAATACTGAGCAAGATGAACCAATGGTCTGACTCCATATAAGGCAGTTTCCTGTACTCCAATTCTACTAATATTCCTGCCACCTCAATTTTTTTAAATCCTCAGAACTCTGTTTTATGTATATATTTGTTTGTTTTGTTTAAAGAACTTCTAAGCTGCTCTTCATCTAAGAGGATCCCAGGGTGGTATATGACAATAACAACCATGACAAAAGATTATTTTATTGTGTCATGGGCATTGGGTTTCCAGACAATTCAAAAGCAGAAAGATTGGACCAGTATTTGTGTGGGGAAAATGTAGCAACAGAGCTATAGTTGAGCTTCTTCTCTTTTGTCAATAGAAGCATTTTCATATTTTCCACATGTGTCTGAAGAGTGTATTATTCCACCACATTACACCTGTGCGACGCCTGCGGAACGAGTATTTTTCTATGAAGCCACATCAGAAACATATGTGCCTGAGCTGTGAATGGTTCCTGCTTGGTTCACAAACTTTCCACTTCTCAGAAGCCTCACACTGCAAAGTAATGACGACTGTTTGGTTCTCTGTGTGGTTGTCTCAAGAGAGGCTAGTCAGGAAATAATGGGAGATGCAGGCCTTTGACACTGTCTATATGTTCTTTGTAATCTCTCTTTATGATTTAACAACAGAAACTGAAAAGGCAATCGGCAACCTACAGAGCTGACAAAATCTACCCAACGGCTACATCTGAGCAGCCGGAAAATATCAGCAAGAACCGGTATAAGGACATCTTGCCATGTAAGCAAGGAGTTAAATATTTATCACCGTAGTTTTTAATCTTTCCAGCCACTGTATGAATGAGGTGGCGTGTATTTGGGATGTGTGCACCCTCTACTTTTAAAGCACATTATTTCCCTCAAAACCCTGTAGTTTACCCCTCACAAAGTTCCAGTTCCCAGCAACTCTTAACAAATGTCAGTGCTCAGAATTCTTTGAGGGAAAGTATGTGCTTTCAAATGTAGAGTGTGTACACAGCCTTGGAGTGTGAATGGCCCCTGTGCTTGTTATAACTAATATCATGTATACAACTTGGATCCTAAATTAACCTAAGGATATTATTGCCTCTTTGCATCTCAGGTAAAGTGTTTGTTCTAGTGAGGTCTTCAGGGGTGGGAGGTGGAGAAGAATAACAGGTTTGATCCTGTTGAGGGCAATTTCCCCCTTCTCAGCAGCCCATTATGTCTTTTCCTATATTGTTCAGGAGATAAACTTCAGAGAGACTTCTTGGGGTGTGTATAGGGAGAGGAATCTTTCCTTTCATGAACTTTCCTTTCATGAACTTGCCTTTGGACCCAAGGCAAGTTGTATGCAAACATGCTATTCACACACACCACACAAATGCAGAGTGGGGTGCAAATAAGAATGAGCATATGGTCCACACTCAATACACATCAACAGGTTGGTACAAAGATACATGTTGTCTGATACATCTTAGAAAAATGATCAAACAAGTTTAGAAGGACTTTTAAAAGAACACTTGTTTACCTTCCTGTCAATAGCAATAGCTAGAGGAGAGGCGATATCACAGGGATTAATCAGTAGGTGCCTGCGAGACATTAGTCAAAGCAGCAATTATGGAAGCACTAGCTGGGTTGAAATCTCTTTTCCCCAGCAACTGAATGTTTTCATTCTGAGAACTGGGAAAATGCTATTTCCTTGGTTTGGATGCAATACCTTAGTGATGGTTATGTACATTGAGCATAACAAATGTGTCACCTTGACACATTCTGACCACAAAAAACAATACCCATTCTCTGAAAAAGGCTCTTAATATGTATAGGTTCCATGACTCATGTTCACCTTTGCATGCTGATAGACTTCTTAGGTCAGTCATTCCTTTTTCCTCTCTTTCTTTACTGTTTCATTCACTTGTGATTGTCGTCTGATCAGGGTACAACTACCCACTAGTTAGGGACATGGGTGGCGCTGTGGGTTAAACCACAGAGCCTAGGACTTGCCGATCAGAAGGTCGGCGGTTCAAATCCCCACGACGGGGTGAGCTCCCGTTGCTCAGTCCCTGCTCCTGCTAACCTAGCAGTTCGAAAGCACGTCAAAGTGCAAGTAGATAAATAGGTACCACTCCGGTGGGAAGGTTAACGCCGTTTCCGTGCACTGCTCTGGTTCACCAGAAGCAGCTTAGTCATGCTGGCCACATGACCCGGAAGCTGTATGCTGGCTCCCTCGGCCAATAAAGCAAGATGAGCGCCGCAACCCCAGAGTTGGTCATGACTGGACCTAATGGGTCAGGGGTCCCTTTACCTTTACCCACTAGTTAGCTGACATAGTTTCCTAACCTCATATTTTACTTGTAATACTATTACAGAGGTAGGGAACATTTAGAGGGGAACATCAGTTGGCTTAACCCTTCTCCTCCCACAATTCTTCATCTAGTTCCTCTCTCCCCCTCCTCACTGTGGAACAGCTGGGGAGGCATTGTTTGGCACTATTCTCACTGGCAGATCAAGGAAGGGTCAAGCACATTCACTGTCCACTCACCACCCCTGCATTATCAGTAACTGGCAAATATGTTTGCTGAAATAATTTGCAGTTCTTCCCTTAATTAAACAACATAGACTCCTCTCTGAGATCTCAGCCGTCACAACTTTGGCGATACGTAAGTTATATTTTGCCATTCTGGAAGCTGCAACTTGAGTTCTCTGAACTCCTGGGCATTAAAGCTGCTCACATGAGTAGATGCTTCCTGTGAAGGAATAAAATGGGGATCGGAGTGGCTTGTGACCTTTTGCCAGATGAAGATGTTCTTGGATATACTGAGTTGTATCCAGTACTGTGGAAGCAGAGCTCCTCTCACACAATGGGACTTCCATTTCCTCTCTTTCCACCATGCGCTCTCAAAATCTGTGCTCTCTCTCTCTCTCTCTTTGTGTGTGTGTGTGTGTGTGTGTGTGTGTCCTCCAATACGTTGGAGTTGATTTTGAGAGCTGCAGAGGAACAGAAGAGGAAGTTCCATGTTCATACAAGTCTGTTGTATGAACAGAACTGCAGCATTGGGTGCAGCACACTTAAACAAAACATAGCTTTCAAAGGCTTGGATCCAAAAATCCTCCTTCCCATTGCAGCCTCTCAAAACTCCACTTCTGAGGGCTGCATGGGGTTGCAGCTGTGTATGTTCGAATCAGCTACTCGGCCCATTCATGAGTAGAAGTGCCTTTCATTTGGATGCGAAGATATTTGGACCCATCCCCAAGTTTATTAGATACAATTTATCAACACCATTTCATTTAATATCAAATATAGATATTCTGTGGAAGAGATGGAAATAGACTTGGTTGGGGGGTGGATTGGTGTGTGGCAGGAGATGAAAACACTCTGGGAGCAGGAAACAGAGAAGGAAATATACGCAGTGGTGCATACACTTAGGCAGTAACAACCTTTTGCTGCAATACAATGCAAAACAAACTATTTTGATCCTTGTTGGTGCCGCACAGAAGAGGCTAAGGTCACGCACACACACCCCCCGAACATTCTGTGATGCAAATGAGCATGAACTGTGCTGCTAATTATTTCTCTCTCTCTTTCTGTTCAGGCCAGGAAATATTATGGGGAGCAGCACTTTTTTTAAAAAAGTGCATCCTTGTGAAAGTGCTTGGAATGTGCCTGTGTAGTTGGGTGACGAAAGGGTTTAAGGGTGACCTCTCACAAAGCAACTGTTACAATGAAACTTGACTTGGATTTGCTGTTCTAGGATCCGTTATATAATGCAGCTGAAAGTTGTTTCATTTGCTCTTCCCTATAGATGACCACAGCAGAGTGAAGCTCTCCCTTATCACGTCTGACAAAGATTCTCATTACATCAATGCCAATTTTATCAAGGTAGTACCTCATTTGGTGGCCTGTCGCACATGATTCGCATGGACTGTAGGCTCTGCTGAGTGAAAAATACAGGCATATGCTAATAATCTAAAGCGGACATTGAGCCCCTGGAGACATTTAAAAACTGGGGAAAAACTGCTGTGGGTACTGCACACACACACATAATATATGCATGTACACAATGCAATCAGTCAATAATGGAAACGACAGACCACAGCTGCATATGACCTCCAATAATTTGCCCCCCCAACCTGCAATTAGGCTTGAAAAAAAGCCTCTTATTGGCTACAATGGAAGGCTTCTATCAGCCTAATTTCAGTGGAAGGGGTGGCCTATGTGACGCCTGGAACAGCACTCATGAGTGCTGCTTTGGTGACCCACAATCCTTAGTCAGGTTTATATGAGAATGCAAATGGTTTAATGGAGAAAGTGCTCCTCACATTGAAGAGATCCCAGGAGTGGCAGGTTAATGAAAATATATTTGAAAAGTTATAGGACCTTTGAAATATCTTACGTTCGGGCTTCTAATTTAATCCTAGGCTACGTGAGTTCCTTCCACTGCCTTTCTCACTGAGGAAGCACTCTAAGGAAGTTGTCTCCTCTCAACAGTTCTCTGTCCCATTTAACAGCAGGAAGTCACACAACCTCCTTTTCTTAGCAGTCCTTCTGAAGTTAATGACACAACCAATTTCAGGATGTTGTTACGAGTTTTTGGGTGCCCAGATCCCCTGAAATTCCTGGGTCTAAAAAAAGTTAGAATTCTGTGTCTGTTTTGCAAGCTGGAGGGGGGCGGGGCAGAAAACGGGTGACCTGTTTTATGCTGCAGTGAGGGTCAGTCACAATGTTTGGGGTTTCTTAGAATCTGGAGCTGCAGCAATAGAGGAGACAGGACCTTCTTGGGGTGTGAATGCTCTGCATTCTCTCCATCTAGGCTTGTGTTGTATATATGTGTAAATAAATTATATATAATAAAGACACCACAGTCTCTGCTGTGCCTCATTGTTCCAAAAGGAAACACAGATGGTGATCAGTGTGCTGGGTACCCCTGGAATCTCACACCGTTTGGAGATTGGGGAGGCGTATAACAGTATAATGGGAAAATACAAAATACTCCAGAGTGGATTGCACCTAGATGCTTTTTAACAAAAACTTGTATTTTATTTATTTCCTTTTTAGGGTGTGTATGAGCCAAAGACTTACATAGCTACTCAGGGCCCCCTTCCCACAACTGTTGTTGACTTCTGGAGGATGATTTGGGAATATAAAGTCCTGGTAAGCTCCAGATCAGTGCTACTTACAAGTCACTCCTACAGTTTTACATTCAAACATTGCTTGCTTTTTCCAGGGGAGGGATGGGGTCCCATGAAATGAATTAAGCCAAGGGGGTGGTTGCACTATGTCTGGCGTTTACAGACCTTGGTTACAGCTTGTGTTTAGTCAGGAGAGAACTAAGCCACAAGCCCAGTTTCAGATGGTACACTAATCCACACTATGGCTTAGCTCAGTGTGGTGCAGTAACAGATCAGCTTGGGAGAAGTGGTCTGGACACACATGCACGCATATTAAGCCATTGTTCTGTGTAGTTTGATGTGCAAACCAGGCCAGATTGTGGTTTGCTTGGAGTTAAGCAAGCCACCATTCCTGGTTCAAATATAATTCTAAGCCAGAGTTCATGGTTTGTTTGTTTCCTTCCTTCACTAGTGATGAGGTTATGACTTATTGTGATACACAAATATGTATTCATACCTATTGCTTTCTGCTAGACTTTGCTACCCATGTTTCATGTTTTCAACATTTTGCATTCATGCACATGTGCAGTTGTACAGTGATCATTTTTACATAAACTCCCCCTGGTGATGCTTACATTCAACAGCCCATCCCATACAGTAACAGCAGATGCTGAGAACTTGGCAACAGTGGAAGGAGCCTAAAGTCAACAGCTACAACAGCTGCTGGATAATTTCTGGACAACGTGGTAGAGTTTAAAAGTGCCTAAACATTGAATCCCTTGTTTTTCCAAAACCCACTAATCCTATATAAGCAACTAAATGTTGTAGCTCATACAAATTAGGGAAACAAAGCAAATATGTACAGCTTATTCCGTTCCCAGGATTTGAGACTTCTGGCTATATAAAAAGGATGGAGTTCTTACTAAAATAAAAATAAAAAATCTAAGCCATCCTACTGCACACAGCCATTTTCTATAAGTGACAATTCTGCTCAAAGGCACCACCAGCCACTTGCTGCATATTTGCATGTCCCGTGCACACACTGGAGGGCAGGGGCAGCCATATGGCATCATACGTCACTTGTACGCATCCCAATTTCCCTCCTGGTTAATGCACATGTTCCCTTATTGTGAAAAAATCTGATTAGTACTGTCAAGGGAGGTATAGCTGTGGGAAGTCCAAGGGTGTGGTGGAACTGTTCTATTTTTGGAAGAGTTCCTCAACCCCGCCCCCATGTGTTACATGGCATTTCTTTGGAGTGGGGGTGCTCTACTGCCACACCTCCTCAGTGCTTCTTTGACTGTAGGCACACCTGAGCCATTTTATCTCCAGGAACTGCAATGCAGAAGTTGGTGCTTTTGCTTCAACTAGTGACCCCATGGGAAGAGAAGGGAGATGGAAATCGTGCTGGGCATGGAAATTTGTTTTATTTTTCTTTGTTGCAAAGTGGGATTTTACACCTGGTGTAAGCCTAGTTTAGAATTTTGTCGCTAGACTTTTTTTTTGGTGAACAAATTCCAAAGCTATAAAGAAAAAAGAAAAACCTTCCCATTTCACACACACCACAATCATTTGAGAAGCTTGCAAAAAAACAAAGCAAAACAAAACAAAACCCAGATAATGCATCAAAGGCCCTTGGAGTGAAATGGGATGTCCCAGCAACTCCCCCCCCTTCCCTCCCTCCCTCCTTCCTTCCTTCCTTCCTTCCTTCCTTCCTTCTTCTCTCTCTGTCTTGCAGAATCAAAGGCTGGCTTATTGTGCTTCTCTCATGCAAGTGCAGGAAATGTGCAACAAATGCAGAAGCAACTGTACACCAAACATTGCATGTTGCTGGACAATTACAAAAATCACACCCTGCTTGATTCTTGATGTGGCTGCTTGGTGAGGTGGAGCAAGTTTGGGGTGGAAAGTATGAAGAAAGAAAAGGGTCTATGCAGGAACAAAATAGGCAGTATCAGACATGCACTGTCCACTGGTTTGGATGGGAAACAACAGTGAAAATATTAAACTAGCAAAGGGGTGAATGGAACCGTGTTATCTCATATTATGATAAAAATAGAATGAGAAGGAAAAGAAATTGGCAGAGGTCTACCTTGTGGAAGTGCCCAGTACTGAAAAATTTCCTATTTCATTTGTGTAGCTGAATGGCGCTCAAGTGTCTTTTTATTTTTATCTCTCCAGGTTGTGGTCATGGCTTGCATGGAATTTGAAATGGGGAAGGTAAGCCCTGGGCCAATGGATAGCATGCGCGCGCGCGCACACACACACACACACACACACACACACAAACACACAGCTTAATATAATAAAAAAAACTCTTAAGAGGTTTGCATAAAAAAAATCATTCAACAAATTTCCTAAAAGCTAAATAAAGTGAAAACCAAATGATATATCACAAGTAAAACTGAGCACTTTGCAAAATAAAAAAGAAGGTCATCGAGCAGAGCAACCAAGGATGATTCAGATTCTGCCCCCAAACTGGACTTGACCTGAAAGGTCAATATAATCAAAATATTGCAGGAGAATCTGTGTTTTCCTCAAGTGGTGTCTGTATAAGATAGTGCTAACTCTCCTGGCCATCATTCCATCCTCCTTTCTGAATTATCAGAATCTTTAAAAGTCTCTTTGGACTTTTCTTGGTGGAATTACTTTTTGTACAAGCTAAATCAGACTGTTTAATGATCCCAGATCTGGAATTTGACTTTTTCAGGCTCTTGCCTCAAACACCACACACACACAAACAAACACACACCCTCCCGCAACCCTGTATTAATTTTAAAATTCAGACAATGAAGGAGAAAAGGTAAAAGCACCAAGAGTACATGTCTGGATACAACTTTGGCACCAAACCTATGATGTGGGAATTCCATGACCGAAGCTCCCAACATTTTTTATTTTCCTTTATAATCAGGATGAGTGCTATGGCATGGTGGGAAAGTGGGGTGGTGGTGGTGGTTAACCTTTCGTTCCATGCTTTGTTCCCTGGTATAAATTGTACCCTCAGCCTCAGAGCTGCTATTAGTCATGGAGAGAGAAATTTACAGTCATTTGTACTTGTCAGTGGTTGTTGAGACAATTATGACTTCAGTAAGTTTTATGTGGCCATAGTTGAACAGTTTAAAGTTGTCCTTTCTGGTTTATCAATGGATACACCAATTATCTCTGTGTGCAGATTGCTTCTCATAATGGGTTCACAGTTGAGCCAGGCTGTGTATATGCCAGATCTTCCTTAAGCTCCCATTAAAAAAATAGGTTTATGGCTCCCTGTTTCTGTTTCTTTATTAGCACCAGCCCCTTGTCCTTGGACTTTTCCCAGTATTTCTAGTCAGTAGTTCTCTTATTGCAAGCGTTTTGATTCCCCTCCTCCCTCCTCAACAAGAAGCCACAGAAGTATACAGTGGTTGTTGAGCATCCTGCCCAAGGTGTGTCCTTCACTGGGGGAAGGGCCATAGCTCAGTGGTAAATCTGCCTTGCATGCAGGAGGTCCCAGATTCAATCCCCAGCATCTTCAGGTAAGACTGGAGGAGATTCCTGTCTAAAACCATGGAGAGCTGCTGCCATTCAGTGTAGATGATACTGAACTAGATGGACCAATGACCAGACTCAGCATACAGCAGCCTCCTACATTCCCATGGCTGGGCTTAGAAACCAAGTGAATTCTATAAAAATTAAGGCAGCCTGCACTATGGTGAATGTCTTAAACAAAAAGAAGTGTTGTGTTTGAGAGCTGCCAGCTTGGCCAAACAGCTGAACACAACACTTGTGTGGCTGAAACTTTCCCTGACTGGAAACCAGTTTTTGTGGTGGGGGCAGGGAAAGGAAGATATGAGAGTTGACAAGGCAAGAGACAGATAAACACAGTCTCCTTCTACTTCTTTTCCAACAGAAGAAATGTGAGCGATATTGGGTTGATGCGGATGAGTCTCCACTCAATATGGGCCCTTTCTGCATATCCTGTGTGAGTATAACCATGCTTATCCCCCGGCCTGTTTTAATTCATAGTCTGCATTCTGATTTATGCAAATTGTTGCTGTTTACCGGCAGAAAATGTCATCCTGGTTTGTTTTCCTATAGGAGGCCGAAGAAAGGAGAAATGAGTATGTGATTCACACTCTGAAAGTGAAGCTGAATGACAGTGTAAGTCTGGGAACATATGGTAGGAATGCTTGGGGAAGTAGTCTGTGCTGGTGCCACCAATCAAACCATTTATGTGAATCCTTTTGTGGTTCCAATACACCACTTATTGTGGTGGTAATAGAGTCCGATGCTTCATAACTGCATGGGACTCTTCTGTCGTAGAACTGTGAATAGGGATATTGGCATGGAAATCTGAACAGCCACAATCTGAATATGCTCAATGGAAAAGTGTAGGTATGGTTTGAGTCTTTGGGATGTTCAGTTCAGCCTAACTTTGCATCCTCAAATGGCTACAATGGCATGTGTACCCACAACAGTCAATAAAAGTAAGGTAAAGGTACCCCTGCCATACGGGCCACTGAAGACTCTGGGTTGTGCGCCATCTCACTTAAGAGTCCAGGGCAGGTGTCGAGGAAACTTCACGTGGCCACGTGAAAGCTGCCCTGGCGAGCAGAGCCCCACGAAAACGCATTACTTCCGCCAGATGGTCCTTTAGCTACTTGCACCCGGGGGTGCTTTCGAACGGCTAGGTTGGCAGGCGCTGGGACCGAGCAACGGGAGCGCACCCCGCTGTGGGGATTCGAACCGCCGACCTTTCGATCGGCAAGCCCTAGGCGCTGAGGCTTTTACCCACAGCGCTACCCGCGTCCCAACAGTCAATTACCCACCCACAACAGTCAATTACCCACCCACTATTTCCACCACCCTCAAATGAGGATGAGATCAATCAGAGTAAACTTTAGTTAAACTATATCTTCTTCCTTTTTGGTGCCTTTACAGGAAAGCCGAACTGTGTACCACTTCCATTATAAAAACTGGCCAGACCATGATGTACCATCCTCAATCGACCCTATTCTTCAACTCATAGAGGAGATGCGCTGCTATCAAGCACACAGTGATGTACCTATCTGTGTACACTGCAGGTGAGGCTATTTGGCAGTAGAGATTTAATCTTTTTCTACGCCAAGGGAGAATGCTCAATCTCTGTATTAATGCTCAAAGGGAAATACACACTCAGCTATAATCTTGGAGGCTTACAATTATTTTAGTTTTGCATCTTCTCCTTTATCTCCCCTCTCTGTGGATTCTATATTCTGATTATTTTCATGTAATGTTTTCTCCACCAAGTCAATATGTTTTCTTAGTTTTGCTGTCCAAAAATACCTAATCCTGTAGTGAGGTTAAAAGATGCATTCCACTTAGTTCATAGCAAGAAATTAAGTGAGTTCAGCAAATAGATCAGAAATATAAATTGGGGGTTGATATCAACCTCAATTTGAATGGATGACATTATCTGCCCCCAATATAGCTCCTGGGAAAGCACATAAAAATCTGTTCAGGAGCTATTTTAGGACCAGTTCAGGGGAAGGACAAAATTTTCTTAGGTTTTTCCGCAGATTGACACTTGTTCCGATTCAGCAATAAAAAGCGGGTTTTCCCGGGGCAAGTGGCAGGACAAAAAACCCCAAAACTTTCTCAGGCCTGTGATAATAGATTTATACAAAGTACTAGTAATCACAGGACAAACAAATGGGTGGATGGGCCTAAGAGATTTTCAGGGAAGGTTGAATGTTCTTTTATTAAAATACTAGAGGAAAAAAGAGAGCTGAATGCAGGATGAAAATGAGAGCTGTACTTGCCCTTCTTCCAACAATCTCTTGTGTCTTTTTTTCTTTTAGTGCGGGCTGTGGAAGAACAGGAGTCATCTGTGCCATTGACTATACGTGGACTTTGCTAAAAGACGGGGTGAGTTTTTGTTCCCCTGTTAAACATCTTTGTACTGTTCATGTGCTGCTATGTCAGGCAAGGAACTTCCCACCGATGGTAGTATAACTGTCATGAGATGGGAAATTTTGCTGTCTGTTATGCTGTTACTGGAAATGGGAACCTTTTCACCAACTGATGTAACCGCCCAGAGTATAATGTAAATATCCAGAGGATATTGTTGACTGGGTAATGTATGAATGCCATCAATCAATCAATAGGCATTACTGAAACTCTTTGGTAAGACTCTGAAATATGAATTCAGTTATAAGGTGTGTTGCGACACAGAGTGGATGGTTGGACCTGGGCATTCCATATCACCAACAGTTCTTTGTCTTTCCTCTCCCCTTCATCTTCTTAAGATTCTGCCAATGAACTTCAGCCTTTTTAATACGATTCAGGAAATGCGAACACAGAGGCCTTTATTAGTGCAAACACTGGTACGTACAAAAAATATTTTTTCTATCATGCAAAGTATATACGAAATTGTAGAAAGCATGTTTGCCTTATAGAGAGACACTGCTGTGCTCTAACAAGGAAATCCTTGTGTGTGTGGCAATAATGTACAAGAGCCCTCTTTGCATGAAAGCCTCCTGCAGAGACATCAAAGGAAAAGGTGCAGTTATTATCAGAAGAAGGGAGATCAAAGTTCAAAATGCTAAGGCATTCTGTGGATAATGTGCCAAATAAACTGGCTGGCAAAAGGGCACACACAATCTTTCAAATGCTTATTGCCACCAGGAAATGATCTGTTCTCAAAATGATGTTCAATCATTCCATGAAATCTTTATCCCATTAAAAAGGTACTGTCCCAGAAAATGGAGCAGTGCCAGAACTTCAGTTTCCTCTTATACGTCAGCAAAGCTCAGCATGAAGCATAGTCACACCCACTTATTAAATGAATCTCCCAACTTTGGGGATAACCACTGCTCCTTAGCTTGTATGCCAGAAAATATCGGTATAGCTTTCAAAGTCTGTGATGAAGTAGAGAAGTGAATGAACAAAAGTGGCATATCTCCATGTGATTTATTGGCATCATTTTACAGGAGCAGTATAAGTTGGTCTATGATGCTGTGATTGAGCTCTTTAAAAGGCAAATTGAGGCACTCGCTCATCATTCCGATAACTTTGCTATGGAGGTAAGTTTACAGCGTCTGGTTACAAATACAGAGCATTTCCCCCCAAAATACAGCATTCCTACCAAAGCTAGCACCAAACAGGAACTGGAACAGGAAGCACTTCAAACGTTGCATTTATCCTTTAGATCTCAGGCCAACAGTATTGCATTCACCCAACCCTCGTTTCTTGCATGCAAACACTCCCCTGTTGCTGGTTTTTGCGTGATGCTTGATCAGTTATCCACCCAATGTTCCACCCATCCATTTGGTTTCTGAAAGCTAAGTCAGAAGGAGTGAGCAGGGGTTAAACAGAAAATCATCCTGTGCTCAGTTCTCTAAGGATTAGTTCATTGATGATGATGTCAATATCCTGCAATGTTGTGATTTCACAGCATCGAATTTCCAAAATGTACATTCCACCCTCTCTTATTCACAGAACTGCAACCTACTCATTTGCAATTGCACATTAAATGAGTGTTCACATTATTGCCTTAGAGTGTTGTGAAGTTGCTTTTCCCCTGGTGCATTTCACAGCTCTATCTTCCCTAGCCATTCACTTTGGCAAGGCTTCAATACACTCCTGTTTGTGTTCACATCATGGAGCATTTATGGGGTGGGGGGCAAGTCTTTGTCCTATGCAAAGGTGTCCATACCTTGGCTAGAGGTGAATGAGGAATGGCTTGTGAAACTGGTTGAGAAACAACACATCCAGCAGCAGTATTTTATAACAAAGTACAGGATACATAGGCTTTTTGAATAACATCATGTGAACACGGATTTAAAATGCAGCACTAGAAACACAGTGAGTGCACAGTAAAGAGAAGTGTGAACACAACCTTTGCTACTAAGTGATAAAGGAAAACCTAAGATAAATTCAAATGCCATTACTCCGATTCTTTAAGTCCCAACTGAATCTTACCCACACCAATCCCCCCCCCCGTGTGCTTGTTGTTGTGTTTGCAGAGACCTTCTGCTCAAGCTGAGAGAGTCATTTTCTTTCTCATCTGCTGTGGGCAGTTATGTGGTCTAGCAGAAGCATAGGCCAGGGTGACAGAGGCAGCATTTCAACCAGGATGTGGTTTCAAAGATACTGGCTGTTTTTCACAGCTTTTAGGACCTTCAAAAAGGACCTTTGAAAAAGCAGTTTACCAAAAATGGATTTGGGGCTGAGACTGACTTACAATATCAAGACAAGAGCAAACCCACCTCTGCAGAGTCTCTCTGAATGATTAACCTGAGGGCCTAGAAGGCCCTAGATAGAGAGCTTCTTTGAGAGAAATTTTGAATGTAAGAGTATTTGTTTTATTTGTTGTTGTTACAAAAAAAGCAATAAAAAGTATTTGGGTAAAAAAAAGAGAGAGAGAGAAATTTGGGGGCATATCTCTTTACAGAAGCTAAGTGCATGCATGTTTAGGTTGCAGTACTAGAAGAAAGTGCACAAGAAGATGTCCCACCAGGAAAAAGGATCATATGGCCTTGTGATCCACCCCCTCCCCCATGGTAGGCTGGAGACAAGTGTGGGCTGAGAATTATGGCCCAATACAGTTGAACCCTTATTTGAAACAGCTTGAATCAGAGGGCACGTCCGGACAAGGTTGTTCCACACTTGTTCTGTGTGCGCAACTGGTACATGAGGATCCACACACTCCTATTTCTTTCAGTCGCCATATCAATTGTTATTCCATTCCTTGCAATCCACACCAGTCAGCAGAGGTTGACAGAAAATATCCCAGGTGTGGGTTTTTATCCCTCCCCTCAAGCACACTTCCTTCGTCCCCCAGTTCACTTAGGCAGTATACACATCACCATTTCCTCCGACTCTAGTGGGCTCCCACCACTGATGTATGAAGCAGAGAGCACATGGCATTAGCCACAATCCGTATGTATCCTGTAGATTCTTGAGGATTGTTCCTGTTTGATGTACTTCCCCTCAAATCAGCTTCCATCTGATTTGAAAAGGCAAGATGTCTTTAAGCTTAGGTGTGCACAGTTCAGATAGTTGTTGTCCATGTGCGGATGGGAGCACATGTGCAGGTGACAGCTTCATTCAGTTCAGGGGTGGTGGTGTAGGCACAGAGAAACAAATCAGGCAATGTGCATTGAATGAAGACACCCCTGCCCCCTCTCTGGTGTACTCATCAAGTGCAAACATAAACAGGGGACATGCCCATACTTTAAGCCACTAATGTGTACATAGGCTTAAACTTCATTTTACTTGCACTTAAAAAAACAAACAAACAAACACAACTGTACAATTCTGATTCTCATCAAAGTGCCAGCAAAGAACACTTCAGGGCCCTTCAAAACTGGAGTCAGTCATGATGGAAGACAGAAGCAATTTGCTTTCAGGGGTGTTATGTTTTCACCAGTCCTAAGCAAAGTCTGATCTTTATGTTACCAGTTTCTATGTGGAAGATGCTGGAGATGCTTCTGTCTTGCAGTAGCTCCAACAGCTGTTCACCATGTGGAGTGCTGCAATAGTATGCAGTGTGGAAGCATTTCCAATAACTCATGAGGTAGCTAAAATGTAAGACTTGGTGCTGAGTACTACGCAGAAGGCAAATACACTGAAGTAAGATGGGTGATGAAAGAGGGACATACCACATTAATTATAAGCAATAAAAGTGAATCAACATTTCCTGGAGAGCTTAGAGAGAGGTACCCTACTTGGCAGATTCCGTAGTAGTCTAATATTTATCAAGCCATTGAACTCCAAAAATGTATTTAGAGAGCAGGGATGTCCTAGATAAAGGAGTAACTGAGAGTTCAGTGATTATCTGTTGTGATGGCAAATATCAATTCCGGATTCAACAGTGTAGCCCACTCTTTCCACTATGAAAGGTGTGGACACATGACTATAGCCAAGGGAGGGGCAGCTGCCCCACACCAATCAAGTAAAACAATAGAAATACTTAATTAACTGACCAATCAAATTGGTTTTGCCCCCCCAACAAAATCCTGCCCCCCCCACAAAAATCTTGGCTATGCCCATGTGTGGACCTCACAGAATACAGATCTTTTAGTCTAGACCTGGGCATGACTTAGCCCAAACATGCATTTGGAAACCAATTTCTTAAATATTTTGTCCTATATTTATATGGTGGTAGTGCTGCTGTTGTTACCCGCCTTACATTGGGCTGTAAGCCAGTACTACATCCACCTGTTGAAAACCAATGTTCTGGTTCTGTGAGTCTACAAAACCTATATATTTTTTGTAACTTTTGTAGGCTGAAACAAGCCATCCAATAGCCGCAGCACTCCAGGCTCCACATATGGAAACTTCTTCTTTGATACAATTGAACAGGTAAGAAAAGATGTAATTCTTAAGTATAGCACACAATTCGGGAAAGATTAAGCACTTTAAAAAGGCTGTAATCCAATGCACACTTATCTGGGAGGAAGCCCCATTGATCTCAAAGGACATGCACAGGATTGCACTGAGGAGCCCACTAATCTCCATTCGACAGTTAAATATTTATTCTCTCTTTCACTGAAATAAATGAGCCTTAGCTCAACTTTGGTTGGTTTATACCATAGTCTCAACCTAGCTATGGACCAGCATTGGGGATGCTGTGTTTTACCCATAAGTCCCAGCCACCATAGCCAGTGGTTGGAGATGATGGGAGTTGTAGTTCAACAACATCTGGAGGGCCACAGGTTTCCCACCCTTGCTACAAAGAAAACAAGGTTACTAAAGTAAATCAATTCCTACCCGCCTCTCCTCTCTACTGACTTTGCATCAAGGAAATGCATGGAGGTCATCTTGTCTATCAGCAGCTATGGTAGTTAGTTGGAACCTTTAAACACAGAGAAACTCTGAATGCTACCAGTTGCTGTGTGAGAACAGTGAGGGAGGGCTATTGCCTTTATGCGCTGCTGGTAGACTTTCCAGAAACATCTGGCTGAATACCAAGGTAAATAAAATCTTGGCAGTCCCCAGGGTGTCAAAAAGAGTATACCTTCATTTTTAAGAAGCTAGTCTGGGTTCCTTTGGTTGATGTGCTTTTTTAATAGGTGGAAGTAAAGTTTCTGAGTTTTCACTTATCCCTAGCCATTTTGCAATGTAGTGGAGCTTTGTCTGGATTGAGAAGGGCCTTCCCGTATAGTTATACCTTTGACAATGATGTTTCCTTCATTTCAGTTCAGTGCAAGAGGAACAGGAGAAATCTCGGAGCCTGGGCACTCGTGACAGATATAGAGATGGTGCAATTTCAATTGGATCCTTGAGCTTCAGCGCCGGCAGAAACATGGATGCCGCAGCAGGCTTGAACTCTTGGTTGCCAAGACAGCCGCTCCATAAGCATCACAGTTTGGACTTCAACCATCTCTTTTGGGCAGAGCTACCTGTCACTTTAAAATCAGGAAGTGAGGCTGGGATCAGCTTAGATTCAAAGGTACCTCTAACACGGACCAAATCGACCCCTTTTGAGTTAGCCTCACAGAGAGCGTCCCAAACGTTGTCAAGAAAGGACCCTGGTTCTTGTGAGGGCCTCCAGTCTGGAGGATTTACAGCTGACTCTAGCCTTTCAAATAAACTATCAAGCAACACCAAGCGTTGTCTATTTGCGAAGTTACGCCATCAGTCTTGTACTTGGTCATCAGAAGATCCTTACTTTTCTTCCCTGTCATCGGACGAACCATGCTCCCCAGCGCTTCCTGACCCTGCTGCGAATCCATCTGAAACAATTCCCCTGCTTGCTTCTGCTGCAGATGCCACAGCTCAGCCCTTGGAAAGTCCAGCAAGGCCCAGCTACCCACCATGCAGCTCTGTGGCTCAGAATATCCCACCAGTGGGTCCAGTGGAATCTGCCTGCCAGAGTAAGTCCTTGAGAGGTTGTGGGTTCCTCCTGCAGGGGGATTTGCATTACAAAGGAAAGTTGTACAAGGAGGCTGTTTTGTTGCCCTAACAGATCAAGGGGTGATAACATTTTATGTTTGCACATGGCCAGAATTGGACTTTGCTAGTGCATGGATGAGGAATCAAGATGGACAACTAACAGCTTTAAGCATCTATGATTTATTCTTTATGTGAACATCTAACAAATATTAGCAGAAGAGATGTATGGTATATGGGTTATCAGAATGTTTTAATATCTAGAATTCAAACTCCTTGCTTGGCCCAGTGCTGGGCAAAGGAAGGAGGAGGAATGCTGCACAACAACCCAACACTTCCAGGCAAATCTAAAATCTGAAAAAGTATGAATGGTACCGTGCCACTCTGTATTCTGATAAATGAGGAATGAGAAGGAAAATAAATTATCAGAAGGTTTCCATGTGGATTTTGGAAACACAGGATTTATGGTTGATGGGGAAGGAAGTGTAGTGGCAGGCGCTACCACTTCCAGTGCCATCTGGTAGTCACTTTGTTTATTTTTAAAAAGTAAATGCTTTCGTGCTTCTGCACTTCAAGATTTTGCAACAGCGATTGCAACCAGGTGGTGATTCCCTATTATACATTTGGAAGTTTGTTCATGTTTCCAATGTTCCTGATATGCTTAATTTAAATCAACAGAGAAGCTTGTTGCAGGACACTTTCCGTCCACACTTATGGCCTGAATAGTGCTATAGACTTGGATTTTAAGATGCGCATGGTTTTCCTACATAATAGCAAAGATTTTTCTCCATGAAATGATAGTGCACAACTGAAGCAGGGACGGTTCTGTAGCGCACATGTTGCAAGCAGAAGTTCCCATGTCCAGTCATGGATTTTTCTAGCTAAAAGGATTTCAGCTAGCAGCGTTTGCCTAATATCTATATCTTGGATAGGTATTGCTGATCACAATAAACTGTTTGGATCTGAATGGGCCAACAGTCTGACTCAGAATAAGGCTGTGTCCTTTATTTCATGACTAGTTTTCATAAACTAACATCGCGGAACGAGTAGCTATGCAGTGCAACCAAGGTCAAGGAAGACCATGATAGATGAGAGGTCTTGATTATTATCTTGCATGTCTGCAATAGATATTTGTGTATACAACCCAAGTCCACTAACTTCAGCATTTTGGCTTAACAGGTTCTTCCCAGGTGGATGAAGACATTCCGCCCCCATTGCCTAAAAGAACCCCTGAGTCCTTTATTGTACCTGGAGAAGATGGTGAGTTCAAGTATCATCTAAGTGAATACAGTTGTGTTGATCGCAGAACACCATATGCAAGATGAAATCATCATCTCTTTCAAGGGTGGAGAACCATTTTGGCCCAGTTGGCCAGATAGTTTTCTGTCATCCTCACCCCACAAGCCAACTTCGCCATCCAATAACTGACACTGAGCATAAGGCTGGCAAAACACCTTTCCATAGATTTGAACTCACTGCCCATCACCTGATGGATGGTGAATTCAAGCCTGCTTTCTACGGGGAGTGGCTGCATAATTGAGTTCCCCATGGGGAAACTAGTCACATTGTTGTTCAAGCTTGCTTCCTGCAGGGATCAGTGGCATGAAGCAGTCTGCATGGAAACTGCTGCTGAAATGGTGGGGGAAAGCTCCATTTTAGCAGCACTTTCAATGCAAATTGCTTCGTGCTATTGGAGGCAAGGATGCTCCCATTGCCCATCAGCTGCCCATTGCCTGCGATGCCTCGCTCCAGCACAGGAATGATCAGGAGCTCACTTTAAGCTCCCTTTGTAGCCATATGACATTAGGTGTGGAACAGGTTGGTGTGGTTTGTGAGTTGGGGCCCCTGTAAGGCCAAACCTGAGCTGAAGGCTCCCCATCCCTGATCTACAACTTAGACCAAGATAGTGATGATCTGCAGAAAGTTTTAAAAGATCCATTATGTTTTCTAATTTTATCCATTGCAGATGACTCTGTGTTGCCAGATTCAAACCACCAATCACTGTCCAAAAATGAGAAAATTGGAATCTCTAAGGAATGGAGTGGCATGTCTCAGCTGAAATTTTCTGATGACTCTGTGAGACTGAGGCCAAGTAAGGTAACACATTAGAGATTTTATACATCTCTACCAGCAATATTGCTATATAATTCTCCTGACTTCTGCTGAAACAAAGGCTGCTACTTTATATAACTAAATTGCAGCAGACATTCAGTTCATAGTCCAACAGCTGAAGCTAGGACAATACTTCTGAAAAAACAAGTTGTATTAAGTCTGAGTGTGTCAACTGGCAGTAGAGATGCCCAGCAAATTCCAGTGAAGATGGGAACATCTGCTAACGAACATTCTTCTTCCTAAAATCCATTGGGAGCTGATGTGACTAACTAGGAAGATGCCACAAAACAGGGGAAATGAATAAAGGGCTTTGGCTTTTAGCATGAGCAAGTGGGACCTGAGACAAAATGTTGCAAGGTTCTGTTCAGGGTTCCAGCCAGCTATGTCTTCCGCAGGATACTTCATTCTGTCCATTCTTTTCCTCCAGTTTTCCACCCCACCCTTGTTAGTCAGTGTTCCATGTCCACAGAACATTCTCAGTTCTCACTGGGCTGTTACTGCAATTTCCTGAGCTGGTAAGGGCCCGGTAACAAATTTACAACCTGTGCTGATCTCTGAGTAGATGTGTTATATGCTGACAGGGTAGCATCCGTCTTATGCAGCTATTACTGTGTTGCTGAAACACTGTTCTGTGGGTAGGGCTTTTGTAATTGTTATCATTCACAGCACTGCTAAATTTGCTTCAAGCTGTTACTCTTATTTGTTCAGTTCAGTACAACAGTTTTTCAGGAGTGGGAAGTAAATAACACTTTCTGAACCTGAAGGCAGAAAAAAGACAGAAAGGAAGGGCATACTGATATTAGTAGAAACAGGACCAGGGCGCTCTGGCTCTTGCTAACACCACAGTTGAAAATCCCTTCAGCAATTTAATAGGAGAACTCTTCTGAATGGCTTGCTTGAGTGTCACTTTCAGTGGTCACATTTTTAAAATGAGTAGAATGCCCTTTCATCTGATTTAGTTTTGAAAAACTGAAATAGGATTTTTGTAAATGCATGGTTCACAAATGGCATGTGGATCCACCTTCCACTACAATTGCACGCAGCATGTAATTCTTTAGGAGCATTGAGTAGGATGTTGTTTGGGGGCATTGTCAAACCTTTAGAGAGTTACAGCTGTCCATCACCTACTTACTAAAAGTTAAATGCATTTATACAGAGTTGTTTTGTTTGTTTTCAGAATGCAAAGCTGCAGAGACCCAGATCAGGTAAACATTCTCCTGACATTTCTATAAATTAGTCTGTGCTACTACTACACCTGCTTGCTTTGTAATGAAACGGGGGTATATCCTGTTCTAATCATGTTCCATCATTCTAGCAATGCCTTGCTTTTATTGTCAATGGAAAACTTCTGTTGTATAGATGGTACACTAGATGGTACACTTACCAAATCCTGTTCCTCATTGTCATCTTGTTCTGTTAGTATTATTGCAAAGGTGCATACATGTTTTCTTGGGATGAATTGTGCTTAACACTGATAGCAGATAGCAGAACTGAAGACATTGCAGACAGTCTTGGCCTGATGCTGGAGAGGCTCAGGGTTTTTTGAAAGCAAGCTAATGAAAATGTTTTCTTTAAATTATTTTGTATTGCTTGTTACTACAGAGATTCCCCGGGATCGGTCTCCTTCCCCTCCCCCACTTCCTGAAAGAACTCCTGAGTCCTTTATTCTTGCAGATGAGGAATGTAAGTACAACAGCTGTGGTTGTCTTGTAACAACATTATTGGGTGGTGATTTTAGTTAATGCATTTTCATTTGAGGAGGTAGCAAATACAAAGTCAGGTTTGAGAAGGTCTGGGTGAAAAGTGCTGGAGGAGAATCTTCTTGTTGGCATCTGTCTGTCTCGGAAGACAACGGAGGAGTGTGCCTTTGGGGGTAAAGTCAAATCTTTAGAGAGTTACAGCACCTGCTGTGGCTGTAGAGACTGATATGGGAGAGAAATGTTTTGTTGCAGCTGGGGCAGATGGAGGAAAATCACAGCAACAAGAAAGGAAGATAACAATGAGTCTCCTCCATATAATCACATTCAGAACCCACCTTTTGCCACCAATTCCTATCAATACATACTTGTGGCATTCTGAGAAACAATACTGAATGTCTATAAATCAAGTGATGTTGCCAGAGAATCTCAGAAGCACAAAAAAATCTCCAATGTGGTTTACAGTCTGGTATTAATTATACATTTAATTATATTGAAAGAATATATTGAAAGAATTGCCATATTTTGGGGGGAATAATTGGTTTGTTTTCTTTTTCTTCTCAAATATATCTTTCTTCGATATATAGCAGGGGTAGGGAACCTTTGACGCTCCAGATGTTGTTGGACTACAACTCCCATAATCCATGAACATCAGCCATGCTGACTGCTAGGGCTGTTGGGAATTGGAGTCCAGCAGCAACATTTGGAGGTCTACAGGTTTTCCCATGTATATGGAAGTGTCGATCCAGTTACTGTTTTGCTGAGTGTGTTTTTGTTTTCCTAGCTCAACCATCTGTTACGAACAATGCTGTGAGTTTCAGAGAGTCTGTGATTAGATCAACAGACAAGTCATCAAAGGAAGCAAAATGCTTCAGGAGGAGTAAGGTAAAGGAGCGTGGAGAATGCATAAGAAGTGGAGGGAGAGACAGCTGTAACATTTCTATTAGCAGAGAAGCAGGGCTAATTATATAAGTTTCAGCTGTGCAGAAGTTATTTCTCTTTGAACAGAGAACTGTCTTCTGATAACGCTTCAGTGGAGGGCTGCCTTCTGTTAGGAAGGATACATGACTACCCAACTTTCCAGTTTTAGCCCACATTATGCTGCATAAAAACACAACCTAACAATTGTTAGGTATCTCTCTCAGCCACTGACTCCATCCATAATATGGAGAAGAAATAGGTTTTTAACTGGTAGATCCTCTGGTAAAAACCAGAGCTTGGAACATTTCTCATTCACAACACTAGGGAGCGCTCTAAGCAAGAAAGAGAAGCAAATACAGTACATATGAAACCAGAAACTACAGTTTTGCTCCCTGTGCAGTTAAGCTGTAATAATCAAATATGTAAATCAACAGTGATTCACTCTTTTCAGAAGGAAATATACCCAAGGACCTTAATTTCAAATTAATGGCCCATTGTGATGCAACTTGAGGCTGGCTTTGTAGAGCCTCAATGCAAAGGGGAACAAACCTCTTCCTCTTCTAACTGGAAGAGAACTCCATTCTGCTGTCCCAGAAAGTGAATGGGCTGCTTGAGTTGATCTAGGGTCTTCCACACAACAATTTATTGTACACTCAGTGTTTCTCAAATGTCACCCTATATCCCCCCCCATCCAATTTGATCCATATTTACAATTTCCACTTTATTTTTACTTATTGGACTTCCTGCAGAAACAGTCAATCCAGATTAAATGAGTTGGGTGGGTCGAATATGGGACAGCCTTTTGACAGGTACTCATGACAATTGCTCCCTGTAGTTTATTTTTCAGATAGATCTGTTCTTAATAAGCAGGGTTTTTGCAACACCATAATTTTTCTGTGTTTTCCCCCCTAGAGCTTGAAAATTTTACGAAATGTGAAGAACAGTAAGTCTTTTGAATTTATAGACTGTCTATATTTTGCATATTCACTGCGGTGGTGCTGTGTTGTAGTCTGAGCCGAGGAACCATAACCCCTAGCAATTCTATTGGGAGATGAAGGCACTCAGTAGTTTTGCTGGATTAATAAAGACCTATCACGCAGCTCCACTGTTTTTCACTGTGCATCTCAGAGGGTTTCAGAACCAGGAATTAATTAAAGATCTACATTTATCTGCGGAGGTTTCATTGTGAATACTAAACAGAGAAGGCAATTTCTAAAATGTGAAATCTTTCTACACTTTTGTGTATACTGCTTGCCAAGCCTCTCCCACATCTTTTCAGTATCTTTTCTGTATAAGAGGCGGGTGAACTACGCATTATGATCACCATGGGGCAACAAAATCCTAATGCTATGATTCCCATGAAGCAACATTCACTATGTGAACTGGGGCATTATTTCATTCCACACACGATAGATGACAGGCCTTTTAGATTAGACCTGCTTGGCATGGTACCTCTAGCACAAAACATTTATTTTTTAAAATGCTGGTTTATAAAGCTTTGCTCCACGCACCTGTTGATGCAGGTTCCTGCCTTTAAAAGTTTTCCAGGAAACCTTGATAAATCTTTACGGTGCTCTTCCTGGGTGTCCTTCTTTGGATTAACAAAAGCAGGAAATACCGCTGCCAACGTTGCTGATTTGGTAGCACGGCACCTTCTAAGATGTGCGTTGTAACAAAATCCAGGCAATATCAGCAGCTAGTGGTCACATTGTGGGTGGGATATTTTTAAATGTATTTCTTGTTCCTCTTGTCTTTAAGGTATCTATGTAGGGTTTATTGCCTCTTTGTTTGGTTGTAAGTCACTTTTGGTTGCCCTGGGCAAGATAAAGCAACTGGCAAATTTAATAAAGAAATTTATATAGAGTGATATAGAGATATGCAATATATGCTGTATTGTTTTCTTGTTTTTGCAATAAAAACAAAATTATTTTAAAAATCTGAGGGAGGTGGGATGGAGAGTATTATTTTAGCCAGTTGGGCCTGAGATGGGGAGAGAGGTAGAAGCCGCTTAGGTATTGGAGGAGGAGAGTGTCAGCACTAGACTGGTGAAGAGAGAAACAGTCAAGAACTGGGATCTATGGACAGCTCTCCTCTGTAGTGAGCTACTAAAGTGCAGGTGGCAGCTTCTCAATGAAGAACCCTGGACTGGCTGTGCCCACCCAGGCTGGCTACAGGATCCTTCTGGACAAGAATAAGTATAGGAGGACTTCCTGTTCCAACTGAACCTCGCTTGAGCAACAAAGTCTTCCTAAACTCTGATGTGTTCCAGTAACATTGGTTGGTCTTTGGTCTTGGCCTCTGGGTTGCTCTTCAGGCTTGCCTCCTAACTTGCCCTTTTGGATTCTGACCTTTACTCTGGCCTTTGTCCTGTGGCTTCTGGCACACATCCGGCTATTGCCAGCAGTCCAGCCCCGACAATGCAGTTGGATCGCTGCGTTTGCAGAAGGCATGTATAGAACTGGGCCTTAATCACAGGCACCAACAAAGGTGTTGGCCCTGGTCCCAGGGTTAAATAGAGCAGGATGTCAAGGTGAGGCTGAGGAACAAAAGTAATGTGAAGGTCGTAGAATGTTGCCTCAGACACAGCTTAATATTCTGTGCCTCCTGGAAAGATCCTTCAAGTTCTGTGGTGCCTATTAAACATTTTTCCAGCTCTATGCAAGCAGCTTATCCATGTGCAGCGCCTGCACAGCTAAGGGAGTGTTTAAATGACCCAATAATACGGCCATAGGTCTTTGTCACTTAATAAGCACTCCTCCCCCTCCTGCAGAACAGTGCTTGTGGGGAAGACCCGTGCAACTTATCCCTATTGTTGGGTCGTGTGAACCTTCATTTAGCGGATGCACAGGAACTTGCTTACAGATCAGTAATTCCTAGAAGAACATCTCAGGAGCAGAGCAACCAATAGACAATGCAGAATACAGTGGTCTTCAAAATTCTGAGTCATGGTTATTCACTCTTGTGCCCAGCCTGAGTACCACAGCCTCCCTAGCAGGAATCATGTTTCAAGAAGCCTGTGATGTTTACATGGACCATCAGCTCAATCCTAACAATGTCTACTGAGACATAAGTCTTATTGCACTCAACATGACTTGCTCCAAAATAAGTAGAGTTAGGATTGCAGCCTATCGGTTCCTAAGATCTTCCCTTCCATTTCTAGGTATTTGTGGTTCACCTTCAGTTTTAAAAGTTCCAGAGGCTGAACAATCAAATCACTCCAGCTCTGTTTTGAGGTTTGGTATGTTGTTGTTGTTTTAAAAAGCAATGCTTCCTTATTTGACTAACCATGAAAAAACTTAAGGGTGGTGTAGTTATTGTTTTGCCACTGACTATGGTTATTGTTACACATTGTTTTAGTTTATAGGTATTAGAGGAATGCACTCTATAGTCTTGGGTCTAAGTTGATTCCAGTTAACTTGGAATCATAGAATTGTAGAGCTGGATGAAACCCCGAGAGTCATCTTGTCCAACCCCTGCAATGCAGGAATCTTTCACCCAATGTAGGGCTCGAACCTACAACCTTGAGATGATGAGTCTCATGCTCTACCGACTGAGCTAAACCAGCACCATGCTTGATGGCAACATATTATGAAACTACAGTATTACAGTAGTTTTCAAAATACTTACTTCTGGGGTTGTTGCACTCTCTCCACAAGCCTGCTCCCAGAGTAAATAATTTCAGCAATGTGATATACAGTATGTATGCTAATATATCAGACTCACTTGTCATTAGCTGAATCAGACAGTTGGCCTCTTTTATTATTTTTGTGTGAGAATCACATGCTAATCTCTTAGAACTATAGAATTGTAGAGTTGAACGGGACCACAAGGGTCCTCTAGACCAGGGGTCAGCAAACTTTTTCAGCAGGGGGCCCATCCACTGTCCCTCAGACCTTGCGGGGGGCCAGACTATATTTGGGGGGGATGAACGAATTCCTATGCCCCACAAATAACCCAGAGATGCATTTTTAAAAAAGACACATTCTACTCATGTAAAAACATGCTGATTCCTGCACTGTCCGCGGGCCAGATTTAGAAGGCAATTGGGCCGGATCCTGCCTCTGGGCCTTAGTTTGCCTACCCATGCTCTACCATATGTAACATTTTCTTGGTTTTGTTTTCTAGGCTTTGCAAACCGGTTTTCAAAACCCAAGGGACCAAGAGATCCACCACCAAGTTGGAACATTTAGTAGAACTTTGCTGATGCCCTTTGTCTCTGCAGGAGCCTTGCCTTTCTGTCATCAGTTCAGCAATTGGAGTCTACGGCAAGACCAACATTTGGAACAAAATGGCTTTTGTTGTGGTGCTACTAGAAAGATAGCATATGTGACCACTATAGACAAAATATAATACTGAACTGTGAAAGTCCCTGGTTTCTGTTCACGTTTCCAATGAAGGACTATTTGTCAAAACAATACATTGCCGAACAAAGAGAAGTGTTGGGGCTCACACCTTTCCCGAAGCAACAGCATCTTTCCTGGGGGTGTGTACTCCATTCCAGGAGGCATTAGCGAAGAAGTGGCTCACCAGGGGGAAATGCTGAAGATGAGAGGCACTGTTATTTATTAGTAATTATTGTGTTCCAAGAATTGAGTGATATTCAGTTGTGGATTTTTCAAGCTCAGACCTTTCTTTTGAAATATATCAGAAACTGTTAGGGAATTCCTCTGCTGTATTCTCACGCAGAGGACATTTATTTGCATGAATGTAATGGACACCAGGTAATCGTTGGTGGACACAGAAGCAATAGTTGTATCCTGTGATTTCCAGTACTGTATGTAACTGAAGTAGGAGGTCAGCCATCCACAGGTGCCCTGTCTCTAAAAAATCAACAAGTAAGCAAGCAGTTTTGGCTGCCTACATTTAAAATAAAACCAATCATCCTTCAAGCAGCCATTGGGGTGTTTCCAAACCAACTGCTTGGTTTTGATCCTGAGTCTTGTTGAAATTTTAAGGAATAATTCCTGACCATTTTAATACTCTGGCATGTGGTGCCTCAACACCTGTGACAAGATTTTCTCCAGCTGGGATCTGTTTCCCCCAAACGTTCAAAATTAGGAGTTTTTTATTTGCCCTTTCACTCCTATCTTTTGCAACCAGAACTTGAAATTCTCTCTCACAAGTTTGTGGGCTAGAATTTTGGGATTGCAAAGGTTTTATACTTTGCACTGAAGCAGTATTCTCCAAGCTCAAATGTTCAAAGTACCGGTGTATAAACACATAAGGTGCATTATGCAAGGGGCACCTACAGGATAAGGTATTTGCATTGTGGAAACACTCCCAGATGGCTGGAGCAAGTGAGATGGAGAACAGAACAAAGAAGGGGGGTGGGGGATCAGGCACAACTGACAGACTTTATTTCTGTAAAAAAAAAAAAGACTTGAAAAACCAAACTTAAAGAAACCCTAAAGCATTTAATGGAATGTTTATATGGGAGTTGCAATATAATAAAATAAAATGTTTTATTTATTTAGTATGCTGGTTACTGCTTCTGCAGATTGCATTTCTACAAAATTCAATAGTGGTGCATATTTCAGATTTATCTCAAAAGTGTAGAGCACTACCATTGGCACTGTCAAAAAGAAGTTACTTAACTTTTAATGACATACTTATTGAGTTGCCAACAGCTACATTCAGAGTACTAATATTCAGAACTCTGATAGATAAGGGACTGGCTTCCACTTAAAAGCAAAAATTTAAGTCAGCCATGTAGGTCAAGGACTCATTTGAATTACAAACACAAATGAGTCAGAGAATGCAAATTGGGTTGTGTGTATGAAAATCTTAAGGCAGGTTATTCAATTTTTGATATATTTGCATGGCTCTTTTACCGTGGGATTCATTGTGTGTCTAATACAAAGAGTGCTCCTCTCACTGTCAGGTTAGCATCTGTTCTAGTTGCATCTAGTTGCTGCCTTGGAGATGAGGAAAGGGACATATTCAACCTCCCTGGATCTCCCTGACAAATGCATGGATGGACTCCAACTGCGTACTGTACAATAATGTCTATATCTTATTTGTTCTAGTGGAATCTATTTTGCTGCAGGGGTGTGAATTATTTCATTTTCTAATTAAAAGCATTTATAGAGCGCCTAATATTTTTAAAAATATCTAAGAGGTATACAACATAAAAACAATAAATAATATTGCTATGACGGCTTTTTTGGGGTTAGGCTGAATGTCTGCCCCCCCCCTTCTAATTCTTGGAATACCCAGGCTAGCATCCTGGTAGGGTGATAGCCTGGGTGATGGGTCATTAAGGGGAACAGCAATAATGGGTGGGGTGCCTCCCCTAATTCATGGATAGTTAGAAAGACAAAGCCAGAGTTCAGAGCAGAGAGTTGGAGTGATGCAAGCAAATCAGCAAGCTGGAAAAAGAGAGGGACAGAACAGTGCTTGATTTCTGTTTGAATCCAAGGCTGCAGCTATGGGGGAAGCATTGCCCTCTTGGGGTGTTAATGCTGTGAATCCCACCATCAGAGACTCAGGTTGTGTATATATATGTAAATAATCCATATATCCTAAAGACACCACAGCCTCCGCTGTGCCTCATTCCAAGGAAACACAAACCTTGGGTAAGCACCTGGAACCTCTGGAATCTCGCACTGCTCAGACATTAGGGTGGCATGTGACAAGATGATTAAAACAAAATCAATTTAAAAATAAATAAATATTAGAAACAGTCAAGAATGAACACATTGAGGGCTTTGAACTTGCTTTTTCACTCCTGTTGCAAATATATTAGAACTAGAACTTGAAATGCTGCCTTGTTCCACATATACAGTCATACCTCGGGTTGAAGTAGCTTCGGGATGAATATTTTTGGGTTGTGCTCCGCGGCAACCCGGAAGTAACGAAGCGCATTACTTCTGGGTTTCGCTGCTCGCGCATGCGCAGACGCTCAAAATGATGTCAAGCGCATGTGTGGAAGCGGTGAATCGCAACCCGCGCGGACGCAGGTTGTGTTCGCTTCAAGATGTGAACGGGGCTCCAGAACGGATCCTGTTCACATTCAGAGGTACCACTGTAATACAGAGTTTTTTTTCATAAAGAAGCTGCTTGGGAGAGGGGCACTGAACATCCCCTGCTTCTATGCCAGGGGTGGGCAACCTGCAGCCCATGGGCCACAAGCAGCCCACAGGGTCGTTTAAACGGCCCCCGAGCCACCCCCAAACCAAGCCGCCCACTCAGTGAGTCCCTGCACGCTGCGCTAAACCGGCACAGCATGGAGCGGGGACTCGCTTCTGCAGCACTGGAAATTGCGCCTGGACAGACAGAGACACTGGAAATCGCATCTGCACATGCGCAGATGCGATCCGGCCCACAGAGTGATCTCTGTGGGAGTGAACTGGCTCAGGCGAGGTAAACCGTGCTGACCCCTGTTCTATGCCTTACTTCCTCATAGTCAGTTGTTCCAGCCACTTTTCTTTGTTCATGGCTCACTCCTGGTAATACAAGAAGAAAAGTAACTATGGGGAGGGAAGGTGAAGAGAGGAGAGGATCAGCACCTCTCTCCTGTGTGTTATTTCTCTTGTAAAAGTAAGACATACCATTGGCTTTGTATGTAATTGGGGTGGACATGTGAAGAATGGCCTGGGCACATACCCACACTATGCATTCAAAGCACACTTACATACCACTTTTGCGGTCATGGAGAATCTTGGGAACTGTGGTTTGTTAGGGGTGCTGGAAATTGTAGGTCTGTGGGAATCGGTACCCTTCTCAGGATGTTGATGTGGGCATGACCTGTTGGTTTTCAGAGATGTAAGAAAGGATGTATGCAAGTTCGATAGAGGACAACAAATTTTATGGGAGCTGCTGCATTTAAAGAGGGAGAAAAACGGAATTACACATGGGTCTTCCTAAGGGTAAAAAAATTGAATCTGCAAATGGAGTGAGGCAAAATATTCCTGCCTGATCTGCACCTCCATGCATCAGTAGAACTTCATTAATTCTCAGATCTACAAGGACGTTCTTGTGGCGTGTCTCCTCTGCCAGTGTAGAATGAGTGAAAAGAAGAACTGGCCTTACACTGGAGAAGCCAGCTGTGTTTCCTCTTCTTCAGGCAGCAACAAGAGTGCAGCACACAACAAGACTGTTGCTGGGCAATCTGTTTCTAGATGGACTGGGCTGCTTACTTCCTCTCTTTCAGTCAGCCTCTTCCTGATTTTGGAAAAGCAATAGAAAATCCTGTGGCAATCAAGGCGTAATTTATGCTTCATCTATTTCAGAATAATCTTTTAATTAGGCAAATGCTAATAGGAACCATTGTAGCCAAACATTCGAACAACAGAGCACTTGCCAACTGTTTTAGTACTCTGTGTGCAAATCTCGATTTTCCTAATTACTCAGTTCACAGATGTGTTGAATTTCTAATTTTGCCATGAAGGATTTAATTAAAAATAAACATGCTTAGCTCAGATCTTTTTTTAAAAGAAAGAAACCTGGAGTTAAGTGCAGATTTGGGAGTAATCAAACCTATTTTCTTTCCTTCTTTTTGTGGCTGTGTGAGATTGTACCAGTTTGTATTCTTTTAAGTATGTTTTCAGTTAAACAGATTAAGAAGAAAAGGTGCTGTTTCCTGTGGGTGCCCAGTACGTTCTATGGGTTCAGTATATTCCTCATTGACTAGAGGCATAAAAAGGTCTGCTGGATTAGGCCAACAGGTCCAACACTCAGACATAGGGATGGAAGAATCTGTCAGTTTCGGTTCTCTCAGTTTTTCTCCAGTCTTAAATTCAGTTCTCCACATTTTGCATCATTTTGCGATTTTAAGAAACCCTCATGAAAATTCACCAGCATTTTAGTGCAAATTTCTCCGAGTACGGTAATTCCAATGCTATAAGGAGAAAAATATTTCTCCACCTCCTTTCTCCATGCATAATTTTAAACATTTCTATCATTTCTACTTGCTCTTTCCTCTAAACTAAAAAGTCCCAAGCACTATAAGCTTTCTTCAGAGGAGAGTTGCTTCATCACATCATTTGGATTGCCTTTGTCTGAACTTTTCCCAACCCTACAATATATTTTTTGAGGTGAGGCAACCAGAACTGCACATAATATATCAAGAGTTGTCGCACCATTGATTTGTATAACAGTATTATGACACCAGCAATTTTATTTTCAGTACCTCTGTTAATGATACCTAGCATGGAATTTGCTTTTTTCACAGCTGCCACACACTGGGTCAATGGGTTATCATCTTAATTGAGCTATCCACTATGACCTCAAGGTATTGTTCCTAGTCAGTCACTACCAGTTCAGTCTCCATGAATGTATATATTTAACACTAAGATTGTTTTGCTCCAATGTGCACTGAAAGTTTTTTTTTAAAAGTTGTGGTACACTATGTAAACTGGATTACCTATATATGTTTGTTGACCCTCTCAGAGGACTCTAATGGATTAGTGAAAGGGACTAATTGTCATGGAAGCCATGCTGGTTCTGGTTCAAGACTTGTTCTATATACGATATCTTTATTGTCATTGTCCCATGCAGAACAATGAAATTGAAAAACTACATAAAACATTCAAAACCCCCTAAAAACTCTGAAACCCCATTTTAAAATACACTATACTATAGAGACCCCTTATGCTGCATTTAGAACCAGAATTGCATTTGCATAGAAACTGTTTCTCAGGTGGCTAGTCCTAGTCTTTATAACCCTGTACCTTCTTCCAGAAGGCAGAAGCTGAAAGAGATCATTTCCGGTGTGCGTACTATCTCTGCCGCTTTCTTAAGACACCTGAGAGCATAGATTTGATCTAAGGTGGGAAGAGTGCACCCAATTATTCTCTCTGCAGTCTTTACAACCCTGGACAGCATTGTTTTTTCCCTGGCCGTGCAGGAGTGGGGATCCTTTGGCCCTCCAGATGTTGCTGAACTACAGCAAGCATGGCCAATGGCAAGGGATTATGAGAGTTATAGTTCAGCAACATCTGGCAGGCCAAAATTTCCCCACACCTGTTCTATCTGCTTGGTTATTTTATCTTTAACAATACTTTCCACCAGTTTTCTCAGAACAGACATAAAACTAACAAGATTCTTTTTTAAACATTAGTGTTACATTGGCCACTTTCCAGTGAGGTATGGAGACTGATCTTAGACACAAGTTACATAGTTTGGTTAGACTATTGCAATTTCACATTCGAATTCTTTAAAAACTCTTGGGTGGATGCCAAATGGACTGCGTGATTTGCTAAGTTTTCATTTTGTCAATAAGGACTAGAACGTCATCTCTCACTGCAGACACTGAAGCACTATGCTTCAGACGAGCAGGGAGGTGGCAATTTGCACACCTATTTTAAACGATGCAAATCTAAACTTGAAAGGGAGAGAGAGAATGCCAAAGCCAAATAGCAACTTTATATCAGTTCCTTGTCTTTCAATGTGCATTTCCAGTTCAGACTACTTTTGTATTTCGTTTGGAAGGTGGGGAAGTGGCTGCTTGTCAGCCTGGGGCTGCTACAGTTT